CTATTGTCTTTCCAGTCCACATTCTACCTGATTTTCCTGACAATTTGCTTTCTGTAAAAAAATAAGAATTTTTAAATTCCACTTAGGAGAAGGAGTCAATGAGTACTTCTCATTACAAATTGCCTTCTATTCAGAGTTAAGAGTTTGTGTTCCGTCTTTCTCTTCGTCTCCCACCCCAGACAGAAACTCCCCCAGGGGAGGCCACAGCACTGATGTAAGAAGATGCAGTGGAAGCTCTTGGGTTCTTGTCATGAGCAAATACAAAGACAGTGGCAATACACTCTCGCTAGTCTGTATTCGAAATCAGGTTGTATTTAAATGAGAAAGAAGTGTGGGCCCCAGCAAAAGTATTGGATTCTTTTCCCCAACTTCTCTCACTTTTTAGGGATGCCTTCTGTTTGGGATGTATTCACATTTCACATGTCCTCTTGACATTAAGCAGTCAGTGCTGTACTGACTCGATTTGATTCACTGTGGACACCGACCACCTCCTCTGAGCCAGGTGCTGGGTTAACCCTGGTGGATGTATCAGAGAGCAGGGAAGAAAACCTTTAGCATAATGGAACAGATAGTCTCTCTAGATTAAGAGCATCTCATTTTTATTTCAGGCCTGGAATTTTAATTTTTGTTTCAAGAGATTTCCAGATGGCTACCCATTCACCAAACAGAGGAGGAAGCGGAGGGCCCAGTGTTGAATTCTTCCCTCTAATAGCAGTGGCCTCTGGCTCACCTGCTCCCTGCCCACCCTTCTTTCCACTGTATTGCTTTGAAGATTTTCTCATTCTGCCCTCCACCACCCAGGTCCTTTTACTGTGGGTTGTTTTTTTAATTTGTTCAAGGTCTCTTAGATGTCTGTTGTCTGATTGCGATGCTAACATTGATCTTCTCATTTTCTTACCTAATTTCTTTTGTCATTTGCTTCTTCCCTTTGCCTGATCCCACGCCTGGCAGAACTGTCTGTCCTGAGAGTTAAATAGATGTCATGGATCTTGTGAAGACTGGGAGAGGAGAGCACTGTGCAGTGACCCTCCCGAGACCTTGCAAACAAAAGCACTGGTCCTTAGCTCCTCAAAGACAGCTGGGCTTGTCCAAGGGCAAGGAAGACCCGCAGACACCGTGCTGGCTTCTCAGACACCCCTAGACTGGAAAACATCCTTGGTGGGGGGGGGGGGGGGGGGGACATGAAACCGCTTGCTGTGGCACCTAGCATTCTGTTAAAGACAGTGAAAACACAGTCTGTCATCCTTGACATTTTAATTGAAAGAAAAGCTTACATAGATTTCAGCCGTAAGCAGTATGTTTATACAAGTGTATAAAGAGGAATAATCTGTCACGTTGGAAAACTCTTAATGCTACAGGACTCAGTTTAGTAATTGAACAATCCAACATGAGCTCACACATCTTACCTTGTTCCATGCCTCAATAATTTTTAGTAGAAATACTTTACCTAGAGGCATATGGTTATTAAAAAGGAGGCTCGGCTTGCTCAAAGTCTGGAATTATTAGCTCATGGCAACAAGCCTGCACTGGAGAAAGACTGTCGGGTCTTTGTTTTCCCAACTTTACTGCAATTTGCCATCTTATTTTCAGAGTCTAACTGATGTGTTGTTTGGGAAGTTGTTTTTTTTTTTTTTGTTTTTTTTTTTTAAAGGAAGAAAGCATAATTTCACATGGATGAGTGACTTCTCGTGTTAGCAGTATTGCAGAATTTTACTGCTTCATTAGAAAGTCCAGGGAGCAGTGAGAATATCAAAGGAAATGGACTGTGAATTTATTTTAGTATAAAACCCAATAATAACTTAGTTATGGGGTCCATCAAGGTGTGATGGGGGGAACTCTCTGTTGCAAGCGGGATAGAAGTCCGGCTTCTTTTCACGAACCATCTGCCCGTGGGCCAGTGCGAGTGGTTCTGAATTCAGCCACTCCCGAGCAAAATGGGAGCAAAATGCCCTCCTACCACCTTGCATTGTTTCAAGTCCATGAAGGTGAGAATATTTTGAAAAACATGAAGCAGTTTATAAGTTCAATATAAAAAGTTGTATGCAAGTGCAAGGTATTCAATAATAATAACTTCTATATACACAAGGAGAATTAATTAATGCAATTATTCCCTGACCACTCTTGCTTCAATGATCTGGCTATTCTGGGCAAATGATTATTTCCTGGGCCAAGCTACATAATTACTTCAGTCTAGTCCTTTGTATACCCTGTGATGGATAGGCATAGATTTTTTTTTTTTCCTTTCAATTTTTGTAGTTTTAAGAGGCCAAGCAAGAAGCTTAGAAAACTCCATCAGTTTTGTAGGTGTGGTTGGGGAAATTATTTACGGAATATATGTAAAACAATAATTCAAAATCATTGAGAATCCAAACATACAGCATTCTCAAATAACCATTTTTCCCTTCAAGTATACATGGCTAATTGGTCTGATTGGCATCATTAGGCAGTTATTATTTTAATCCCAGGGGAACCCCATACCTTGAAAGCCTTTCTTAATTAATGAAGGAATGCTTGATATTTTAAAATCTAGTAGATTTATGCATGTGTGGAAATAACTGACCTAATGAGAACATTGAATTAAATGAAACATACCATTCCCCAATTATTCTGTACCACTGGGAGTTTTCCATAGATTTGGGAAGAATGAAAACTCATTTTAAATTTAATTACTTAAGCATCTCCATTCACATCATCATTAAGTTGTTTAATTTATTTCATTTTTAAAAAGAACCCATCAGTAAAAACATATCCCCAGATTTCTATTAGTATGTCATGTTAGAAACAAAATGTAAATGATGATAATATGAGGATGATATTGCCAATCAACATAATAAAAACTTTGGTTGTCTTTTCTAGAACAGTTTCTGCTTTTCCTGACTATAATGGCAGTATTATTCCCCACAGTGACTAGGGAAACAGACATGTGGGAGAAGGCTATATACATGTATGTAATGTATGTATACATGTATGTATATGTATTATGTATATAGATATAATTATGTATGTAGGTATACACATCTATCTACCCGGATGGATATATAGATCTACAGAGGATGGGTGAATGATTAGCTATCTAGAAATACTCTCAGTGAATCTTATTATGAAACTGGGGAGTTCAGATTATTAATCTGGTCTTTAAAGGAACTGAACATTATTAAGCATGGTATCGTTTATATACCGCTATTTTATTTTCAGTAAATGTCTCAAACAAAACGTGAGGACCGGGGAATGTAAAACAAAGGTCGTCTGTCTGAGCCACAGGGCGTACCTGTCTGACTCGGGGGTCTGCCTCTGAATGGGCTAGACTAAGACTCGGACTTGCAACCCGCTGTGTAATTCTGGGGTACTTGAAGCCTGGAGCTCCCCAGCCCTGGAAAGCTGAGGGCCCTCAGAGGCACTCCTAGTCCTTACTGCGGATCCTTACTCCAGAGGTCCCCGGGGCACAGGGCACGAAATAACGGGTACTTCACGTGCTTTGTGAAAACAGCTCTCCTCTCATTGTTGCAAGCTGCTTACCTAGCCTTCCTATGTCGCTGCCATAACATGTTCCATTCTAAAACCTGCGTGTAATCTCCGCACATCTGTGCACACGGTGAAGGCTTTATATCCTTTACTATTTTCACACAACTTCCTAAACATAAATATTGACTAATTCATGACGAACCCTTTTATGATGTGCGTGACGCTGATGAGTTAGCTGTGTTTCCAAAGGAGCTGTCAGGCGAAAAGTAGAAAACTTCATCTTCTTTGGAGTCATAACAGCCTTGCGAGGAAAGAGCGTGTTGGCCTCTTCCCACCGGTGGGAGCATGTGCTCCGGGGGGCACCGACCGCCGCTGCGGGGGGCTCTGCGCGGGGCTCTTCCCCCCCAGCGCAGGGAGGTGTCGGCCCCCCAGACCGTCTCTGACTGCAATCTTTGCACGAGGAGTTTTTTTTTTTCTTGGTTTAAAAGAAAGCATTCATGATGTCAGCACTCGCGATAAGAGGGTTTCACACACCGAGTCAGGGGTCCTGGGGCGTGTGTGTACTTGTTTGTTTACTTGTTTGTCGTTACGTCTTTAACTTAACGGTTCAACCTTTATGCAGCTCCCCAGAGCAGAAGCATCAGGAGGTTGAGAGCGTAGCCAAGCAGGGCACTTGTTTGCCAGTTTTAATAAACACAAATAATTCCCTTTTTCCCTCAGCCCCATATTCCCTGGCTCATTAAATCAATTTAAGGCCCTTAAAAAAATTTTCTGGCAAATTGAAGCAAAAGCTCAAACTATGTACTCCCCGAGGACGGCGTGCTTACCAAGTCCCGCAGGTCAGGCCAGACTCAGTTTCTGTCAAACAGCCTCACACCTCGAGTTATGATGAAATGAGGGGTTGGAAACGGGGGGCTGGGCTCCGGCCTCGCCCTGCTGCAGTGCCCCAATGCAATCCGGCTGCTTTCGTTTGGGTCCTGGCTTTTGTTTTCTTACCACTCACAGTGGAGACCAGTGAAAAAGTCAAAATAGATTTCTACTGGGAATCCATGCGTGAAGCTGGCTCTGCAAATCCAGAGAGTGAGAGTGTATCCGATCAATGCCAGGAGGGCTGCCAGGCGGAGGTGTGGGAGGACGTGGGTAAAACACATGTGCACACCTCTCAGGCTCTGAGGTCCTCCGAGGGCAGAGAATTCCCGGTCACCAAAGGGTTTCACCGCCAAGTCTCTTTGCTAAGAGTTCGGGGGTTTCAGACGATTTATCAGCTTGTTGTCTACCGAACATCAGTTAGATAACAGAGGTCAGGAAATGAAGTGGAATTTGATGTATTAACTAGGAAGCAGCAAAGGAAGCCAGACTTGTGTTTTATTTGTTATTATTTCCCTAATATCCTCAATTACGGGGCTCCCATCAGCGGAGCTGATCTGCTGCACATATAATGGTGTTGTCCTGGCTGGTCCTGGTCATGGGGAAATAGGCAGTGACTCCCCTGTCCAGGGCATCGGGAATAATTTTTGTTTTGTTTTCTTTGTCCCCAGGCCTGTCCCAGGCTCTCTATCTTCTCTGCTACACATCCACAACAGACAGAGACAGCCCATGCCAGCCTCCATGCCTGGGACCTTGCCCAACCCTACAATGCCAGGATCTTCCGCTGTCCTGATGCCAGTAAGTGCCTCTCACTTCCTCCGGGTCTTGTCCCATTTGCAAAAGTAAAGGAAAAGCTGAGCTTTCGGCTGACTGGGGAGAAAGTGGCTTCTGGATGGAGAGCTGAGCTGTGCGCCAGGTGGCTCCGAGTGCCAACTTGTCCATCCTGGGCATCGCTCTGGCTTCCCGCCCTTCGGTGCCTCTCTGGTGAGGCACGGGCTCGTCTTCCTCCGCCGAGAAGGGAACGTGCCACACCCAGGGAGCAGAATCTGTTCAGGGACACAGTTTTATGACTACTCCAAAGTCTACACTCGCTATTTACAGAGTGTCCTTAAACTGACAGTGAGTGGTCCAGCCAGGGCTCAGAGTAATACCAGTATTAATAATAATGATGGTACGTGGAGCTGTAACATATTCACACGTATCGTGTGCTTTTAATCATTCTAACAGCATGCGTTTAGTGCTCCTCACATGCTAGTCATCTCTGGGTACTCTGTCAACACATGAAACAATCCGAGGCAGTAGGTACTCATGCTACTGCCATGTTGTGAATGAACAGAGTAAGGGAAGTATCTTGCTTGTCTGAGAAGCAGAGCAGCTGAGTGTTGAACCCAGAATGGCTTCGGAGCTCACTCTAACCTCTCCACGATACGTACATTCCCTCCGTATGCACCGTTCTTACCCTCATTTTACAGATGAAGACACTGAGCAACTTGGCCAAGGTCACAGAGCGAGTAGGTGATGGGGTCAATATTGAAATCCAGGCAGTCTGACTCCTGTGTCTATGCTCCTCGTCATTGTGTTTTCCTGCACCTCTTTGTAAACAACAGATGGACGGGGATGGGAGAGAGATTATTTCCAGGGAAAACTGCGCTCTCCTTCCGTGGGTTGCCCTGCCGGTACTTCTTCATCTTCCCTGGCATTCTGCACTGGTGGGCGTTTGGTGGCCAGTGTTATGCACAGGGCACAAGAGTTCTCCAAACCCCTAGAGGTGGTTTGACAATGCCCTTCAAACCCTGTCACATCTCCGTTAACAGTGCCTTGCAGAGCATTGGAGCATTTTAAAGAATTGTCTACCTTTGTTATTTCACTGTGTTATCACAGCAATCCTGGGGAACGGAAAGCCGTAATTATTGACCCACTCACCTTACAGATGTAAAGCCGAAGAGTAAGAAGCTGGGGGGGTTGTCCAGTGTCACACAGCCGATGAGGGAGGAGTTATGACTGAAGCCCACAGTGAAACTCACACTGAGCAGCTCAGAGTTGGCAGGCGGAGCAGTTTGCTCATTTACGCAGCTGGAGGCGGGGGAATGGGGAGGACTTGGTGGCCCTAGTTTAGACGTGGACCTGCCCACTGTACATGCCAAGTAGTTCAGGCTAGAACAGTCTTTGCAAAGTTGGGCCAGAGGCGCTGCCTGCATTGCTCCTTCACCTGCATTGCTCAGCGTACCCCTCTCTTGAAGGAGAACAGCACCATCAGTGTCATTACCCCAGGTTTTCTTCAACCCAACTAATTGCACGAACACTTCCCCCACAAGCTGTCTTCAAATTCCTCTTGTCCAAAATTAGTCTCCTCTCTGAAATTCTATGCATTGTTCAAAGAAAGATCACTGCAGTGACCTTTTATTTATTTGACTAAACTATGTAGTGATCCCGGGGACAAAAGCGGGACACTTGAGTTAAAGAGGCCCCTCTTTTATACCACACCACTTCATCATACAAGGTGACCTCTTGTGGATGCTTTAGGAGGGAAACAAAGGATTGGGTGCATGTGCAGAGTCAGTGTAGACAAAAATCCCGGGATGCCTCCTGCACGGTCCTCACCCCACGTCAGGGACACGTAACAGCTGCCATAATGGTAGTGTCGGTCTAGAGCAGCGCTTCTCAACCAGGGGTGATTTGGCTCCCGGGGCATATTGGGCAGCATCTGGAGACACTATTGGTTGTCACAAGTGGGGGAAATGCAACGGGCTTGGAGTGGTGGAGGCCAGGGCTGCTCGGACTCATCCTGCGATGCACAGAACAGCCACCACAACAAATAACTATTTTGCCCAAATTGTCAATAGTGCTGAGGTTGAGAAACCAACGTCTAGAATGACACTGATGTAACTAATGAAAGATAATATAAAAATCTCTAAAAAGCATATCCTAAAAGTTATAGGCCCTAGAAATCTGGGCCTTTTCTTCCTTATCATCCAGGCGCAGCTCCCACGCTCACCCGTCGGCATTTCAAGCGTGGCCTTCCTCTAGGGTCCTGCTGCAGGGGCCTGAGTCCCTGGCACGGAAGGAAGCCCGTGTCTGCAGGGGAGATGGGGTTCTCCGCGGATCTGCAGTGCTGTCAGGCCACGCCTTTCACCGAGCCCTGGGCCTGACACAAAATGATGTATTTGTTTGTTTGTTCATTCATTCATTTCACAAACTATCGTTGAGCACCTTCTGTGAGCCAACTGCTATGCTGGACGCTGGGGTGCCGTGAAGGCCAAGGCAGGCACTGCCTCGAAGGAGTACACCGGGCTGTGATATTCTCCTCAAAGTCAAATGATTAAATGCTCCAGGAATATGAACATCTATTTATTTTTACAAAAGCCCAGTGAAGTGCAGACGGCTTAGCTCCTGTTCGTCAGTTTGTTTCCCCAAAGAAGAAGCTCTAAAAAAAAGGGAAAGAGGTGAACACTTTTATCTGGATGTTTTACCTATAGTTCTAAATGGTGCTTTGTGTTCAGCAAAGCCTCTCCTGTCCCCCAAACCCAGTCCCCGTCCACTCCTCAAAGCCACAGGCATGGGGCAGAGCCTTATTAGCACAAAGCGCCACGAGTTGTTTTGAAGAGCTGCTGACCCTATAATCATTTAGAGGGAAATGTGCAATTTTTTAGATAGAGAAGTCAGCCTGTTTTCAATATTCCGTTGAACTTGTGAGTCACGGGGTAGAAATAGTCATAGACCGTAATTTTTCCGAAAAGTAGGAAGTACAGCCGACTGCGGATCCAGGGGCTGAAACAGCTGCTGTCCCATTTTGCAGTGCATGAGGGCTAGTAGCTTGGGGACCTCCTGGCGACCATCATCGATACTTCCGGACAGTCAAACCATCTCCTTTGGAAAACTGAGAGCAAAAGCTCGCTTGGACTTGACTTCCCTAGGAGAAGGTCAACAATGTGATAAAGGCCTGAGTGCTACTCCAGCTGTTCTTCCAGAGGCCGGGGGCTATTAGTAATAAGCATTTTTCAGAGCTACCTTGATGACTTAACAATTAGTGTGCACACACATGCACACATACACACACAAAGAGTACATGCATGTAGTTAACGGCACTGAACTGTACACTTCAAAATTGTTACAACGATCATTTTTATGTTACATCTATTTTACCATGCCTTAAAAAAATAATTTTAAAAATCAGAGTTCCTAGGCTGCCTGGAGACTTGGGAGGATGTGAGTATAAATATTTCACTGAATTGGTAAAGCCTCGAAGGGTTTGGCAGGAGTGCTCTAGAACATACAGAAAATTCTTTGGCTCCTTTGGAAATAGTTGGAGGTATCCACACACTATAGGTAAGGAACTCAGGCCAAGTAGGGCTGTCGGTGTTGTTTAGTGGCAGGGCGCGTCCACCAGTCATTCAGGAGAAGGCTCCAGGCAGCACCTCTGCTAATCCACCCAGCAGGGTCGTACCCAGGCCCTGCCCCAGGGATGGCACAGCAGGAATTGCAGTCACAGGATCTCAACAATGGAAAGAGCATTAAAGGGTCACTTAGTTCAACCATCACTCTGAACTCTCCTCTGTGAGCTTTCCCTCCGTGATAAGGAGCTCTGTGTTTTCCAAGACTACCTAGGCCAGCTTGGAGCAGAAACCTGGTTCCCTAAAGTTTCCGACCATTGTTTCCATTTCCATCTTTGGACAAATGGAAAAACTCTTGCGCTGAAGAATCCCCTTAGGAACGTCTCATTATTGTTTGAGTGATGTCAGTAGCAAGTAGAGGGTGGGGCAAAAGTAGCTTTACAGTTGTGAGTCCATGAAACACAGAGTTTATCCTTGTATTATTACTTATTAATTATTGTATTATTTCCCATACAAACAACTGAAAACCTTCTTCTGCCCCACCCTGTGTATTTGCTTTATTTGGGTTCTTAGAAAACTTCTAATTTCCTACTAAACAGAAAATAGTCATCAGACTGAATATTCTTCTATGACTGAAACAGAGAGGTTGCTGTATTTACTTTATAACAGGAACACCCTGGAGACAAAAATGCCAGAGCTCAACGCAGCTATTTGAATAATGTTGAAGTCAGACGCGATGGTGGGTCAGCAAGACAATGTGGGATCAGTCGATCATGTCCTGCAAAACCCTCAGCTGTTTTCTTCACCTGCCCGGAGCCTCGTGCACAATGTAGAGTCGTAACTAGGTTAGCAGGGGGCAGAGGAGCAGACACCTGGGCTCGATCATTTCAGTTGTGTTTATGTGTAAGAGCAACGGGCAGACCCACCAGAGATGCTTTTAAAGTTAATTTTATTTTTTCTTATTGCTAAAATGATTCATGTTTCTGTATAAAATTTAGGCAGAGGTGGGGAGAAGGGGGAGGCCAGATAACCTGAGATAAACATTTGGTATATATCCCTCCAGCATTTTTCTCTGCATATGTTATTCTTTATAGCTATAAAAATCAGCACAATGCGTGGTAGTTGGAGTGTTTGCAAAAGTGGAAATATGCCATACTTTTGTTTGTAAATGATCGACATGACAGCATCATTCTCTTTGGCTTGGAGCATCTTCTATAGACGGCGTAGCTTTGGGTGCTTCTTTGATGTGGTTGGGTTCAAGGCTCAGGAGTGCCTTGCTTACCCTTCACCAAACCACAGGCTTTCTCCAGTTATTCAAAGGAACTCTACAGGATTCATTGGAAAAAAGAAATGCAGCATTGTCTCTGACCTAGACTGCCCTTCTCAGACTTCTGACTGTGTTGCTTCCCTTTCTCTTAGATGGAGAGACAAATGTCCGTGAACTCCAACCTCCTGGGAATGCAAGGTCCGAATCTCAGCAACCCCTGTGCTTCGCCCCAAGTCCAGCCTATGCATTCAGAAGCCAAAATGGTAAATAACACTTATAATCACCCTTTTGTTATTTCATGGCTTTTTCTTTTGATTTCTACTCTGACTTCCACATTTCGGTCGAGTGAGGTAGCCGGCTCCGTCTTTGTGTTGGTGAACAGGTCTCTCTGTGGGAAGGCAGGGTGCGTAGCTTGGCTCTTTCTTTGAGCATATTCGTCACTGAACCTTGAGGCAGATGTTGATGTAACAAGCACTGGATCAGCACATGGCCTTAGTGAAAGGGACGCGTAGACGTCTGGGGAGATCCATAGGAGTCGAGGTGGGGTATCCCTGGGTATGTGTATAACCCGAAATTAAAAATAATTCAGAGTTTCTCTTCTTCAAGGTGGTCAGTTTCAACACCCCTCTTTCTGTCCCCATGTCCACTAAAGCAGGCGTGATTTTTAAGGGAATATTTTGCATTTTCTGTTGTAGTCGTCAGATGTGACATTGATCGGGAAGGATCAGAGCCTTGTTTTCGTGCAGGGTAACTGAAACATGTGATTTCAGGTAACAGCCTTCAGTGACTTCTAACATATGAGACTTACGTGCAGAAAGTTCAGTCTTTCCAATCACAGTGACAGATTCGTGCATTGATGGTCCAACTTTGCAATATAGAGTAAGTTTGCTGGTTAGATTTAGTGAAGTTGCTTGAAGTAGGTCATTCAGTTTTCATACAGTTAAATTCTAACACCACAATTAGGAAGGTATCAGATGACAACGAAATACACTGCAGCAAAGTATTCTTTGTATTTACTATCTGCTACTACAGGATCGCTTTGGCTAGAAGTTGGAGATTTATTTGGTTTGCTGACTGACAGTGTTAGGGACCGTGTTTGATGGCTACTGTGAGGATGTTCTTGACGGTTCTGAAAATTAGCCATCGAAACCCAGTGAGTTCATTTTCAATGACAGCAAGTCTTGTTGTTGTTGTTGTTGTTGTTTTTGTTTTTGTTTTGTTTTATGTCTGCTTTGGTCACTTTCTCTTGGAAACTTCACTCATTTGACTTGTAGCTTCTTGACCCAAGGAAGCGACGGAACTCCCAGTGTTGGCTACGTCCAGCAAATAAAATCTGTGGTCAAGAGAGTTCTCTTTGCTGTGCCACAGTCCCCGTGACATGCCAAATGGCACCGACATCTTCAGCAAAGCTCGTTAAATCTTTTTGGAATCGGCAAATATTTTTTCAACTCAAGCCCTGGAGAGCCAAACCAAATACTTGCTGGCAGACCATAGTTCAAACTGGCGTCTGTTTTGGAGACCAGAGTAATGCCATTTACTTTTTTTTTTTTTTTTTAAGGAAAATAAAAAATGAACTGTGAAGGTACTTAAGAAAAAAACAAAATTAAGTTATTCATGTGTATGAAGACGTGTTCTGGGTGTGAGCATCCGATGCTCCTCCCCAGCCAGGTTATTTCTGAACCGCCTTGTTTGGGCCCAGGGTCTGTATCCTTTTTGAGGGACCTCCCAGACAAACTTGAGGTGGATTTTCAAACACAATTCCAAACCAAATGTCCCTGCCAATCGATTTTCGCTGGGTTTTATGCTACCACTTGACTCAAAGTGTCCTGCCCCTCTTCTTGCTGGCAAAGAAGGGAAATATTTCCAAAGGGGGTGCAGGCTTGTAGTTACTTACATGAATGAGATTAAAACATATGGTGTGGCGAATTAACAGCGAATAATATCAGCTGGCGACAAAAGGGAATTAGTCTGCACTTATAAAAATAGTGTTACCCCACAAATGTTTGTTGAGTTAAATTTACTGAGTGAGCACACTCCTCTGCTGATTCATGTTCTAAGTGAATAAATATTTCCAGATCCGTGATATCTAGGCAAATGAACTCTGTGAAGGAGTTGGGGCTTAGGGAACACAGTCATTCTCTCTGCCTCAAGCTTCCAGCCTAATCCCATGATTGCCAATATGTTAACCCAAAGGGGAACATGGTAGCATTGGCCACTTCTATTTTGGAAGAATAGCATTTACTTTGTAGCTTGCAAAAGTGTTAAGTAAGTGACTTTTAATACGTTACTCAGCATCTCAGCATCTCTATTCCGATTCTACTTGCATTATTCACTGGAGAAACCCGCGGTTGCCATCTATTAAGTATTTTCTAGGAGCTTTGGTTACTTAGATGAAAGCTTTTATGAAATACAAACTAGTGAAGAAGAAAAAAATTCTATGATTTTAATGTCAGCCAGAGCCTCCCCAGGTTTCTCAGAACTATAGGCTTTGTTGTTCTATGCCTAATTCTCTTCCTGTGTAAGACGCGAATGGATTCCAGATTCCAACTAAGACTCTTGTTTCACTGTTTTCAAGGACGTTTCTGAAGGTCACACACGGGCTATTTTGATGAATGCAATCTGTGGGGTGTGTTCTAGAAGGACACGAGAGAAACCAGAGGTGTCGGCCACACCCCGGCACTGCAGGCTTATGCTGCTGGGGACAGTGGTGTTCATTTCACACTCCCTATTGACCACTGACAAAAGCCATCATCCTGAATCTCTGGTGAAACTTGGAGGTCCTGGAGGTGGGCAAGAGCTTAAGACACGATTGTTTTAAACGCACAGCTTTGTCGGAAGCTGTCTGACTCGTGATTGCTTGGTAGAATATATCAGTTTCCTCACCCAAAATCAGTTATTTCTATTGTGAAAGAGAGTAAAACTGGGGTCCCCAGTAAGCTCTACAGAGCACTAATCTGGGCCGTCCCGAACCAAGAAGCACATGTGTTCTTCTTTGATTTCAAATACATTAGTATCAAGCAGTGGCTGCAGTGTGCTCAATGTCCAAACTGGCGTTATCATCATGCGGGCAGATTATAATTTAGTTTTATGGCTTGTTGTCCTGAAGGGCTAAGCCAACAGACACATGGCTTCATAATTATCCAAGTGAATGCATGCACATTGGGTTTTGTTCGGGGCTCAGAGCAGACCCAGATGTGTGAGCGTCTTCCATCTTTCTGAACAACAGGTTCTGCCCCCCAGACGCCTGGGGTTTGTAGCATCTTCCGTGAAAACGGGGCCTGCTGGAAAGGGAACCCACAGGCTACCTGGTGGGCACGGTCAACATCCCAAGGGGACAGGGAGGAGAAGAGGGGGGTGAGCACAGAGAAATAAAAAAGGAAGAGGAGACAGAACGGGAAGGGGACGTACACACCAGACTGGGACACATTTCCAACCTCTGCTGAGGCCAGTGATTCCGAAACAATGTAGATTTTTGTCCATTTCTATTTGTGAGAATTATACCCGTTCTAAGAAGCTTTGAAAAAAGTCTTCCTTGTTTTTTTTAAGAAAACCATAGCAGTGTTGGAAGCTAAAAATGAGATGGGAGGAGCTTGTCCATATCTCTGTGTCGTGTCTTTTTAATGATGAGGTGACTATTACCATATTGAAACTGACTGAAATCAACAGTGGCATGTAAACAACCCTGCAGAGAGGACTCTGGCCACTCTGCCCAGATGCCCCCTCCGGTTTGGACAGGGCCAGTGAAGTCTAGGGAGTACTGATGTAGAAGCTATGTACGGCAGCTGTGGTCTGATTTCATCCTCAGGACGGCACCGTGTCATGGGTGTTATCCTCATTTTACAGCTGGGGCACCTGAACTCCAAGTGGTTAAAAAACTGGCCCCACAACACACCGCTTAGCAAAGGCCGATGTCTCAGACTCCAGTGACAAAGCCTTTTGATCACAACATGCATCCTTTATTCTTCTCCCCAGAATTCTGCTTTTTCCAAATCAGCTGTACTGATAAATCACTAGCAGCACTTTTTTTTTTTTTCTTGGCTCCGGTTTTCTCCTGGCAGATTGGCAGACAAGAACTGGGGTGGTATAGTGAGCAATCCTGGTTAAATCTCCACTTTGTTTTGAATGTCAACCTGGGTGTGTTTGTGTTTGTCTTTCCCCACCCTAATTATCGAGCTGGGTAACTGTTTGCCTCCATGCCCCTCGGCCACCCACTGTCCCGCAGATAAATCACAGAGCAGCCTGGCTCCATATGGACTGGCCTGGAAAGTTTGTACACATGAAAAAGCAGTCTCCAGGTAACATCTCTCTGGCACTCTTGAGAAACGCACTCCTTCGATTCGCCTGTTTGCTTTCAGCATCCCGGCTGCACTTCCTGAAAGTGCAGGACTGAACAAGGAGGCGAACGAGGAGGCTGTGTTCTCAGAAGCGTGGCGGTGAGGCCGGTGCTGCTGTGGACTTGAAGAAGCTCTCGTTCACTTCTGACTTGTGCCAGCAGCCATGTGTCCCTAGAGCCAGTGAGCAAAACACAATGAGGGGCTGAACCAAGGTGACTGCTTTTTTCCAGAATTTCCTTACTTACTGCTATGAAACACCACCATCCAGTAGGCAATTAAGTAGGAATTAGGTAAGAGGTGATGGCAGTAACAACAAAAACCTACAATCTCACTAATATATATGGTAGATCTCACAGGCAAATTTCCTTCTTTTTTTTTTTATTTTTTATCCTCACCCGAGGACATTTTTCCATTTTTTGTACAGATAGAGCGGGAGGGAGAGAGAGGAAGAGAGACAGAGAGAAACATCGATGTGAAGGGACACATCGAATGGCTGCCACCTGCACGACCAACCAGGGCCGGGGACAAACTGCAACCAAGGTACATGCCCTTAGCGGGAACCGAACCCGGGTCTCTCTGTACCGCAGGCCGACGCTCCAACCGCTGAGCCAAACCGGCCAGGGCCAAATTTCCTTCTTAAGACATCATGATAGCAAATAGTAATTGTGGCTCAGTGGATTGAACATTGTCCATGGACCGAGAGGTCCTGGTTCAGTTCCTGGTCAGGGCACATGCCTGGGTTGCAGGCTTGATCCCCAGTAGGGGACATGCAGGAGGCAGCCACTTGATGTTTCTCTGTCACACGGATGTGTTTCTCTATTTCTCTCTCTTAAAAAATAAATAAATAAATAAATAAATTTTTTAAAAAAAGAAAATAGTAATTAACATTAATCAAGTACTTGTATATGTGGCAGAAACTCTGTTAAGCA